TATTTCACTGTTTAAGCACCACTTTTTTAATCTGCAGACTAAAAAGCCTAGACCAGATACTTCTGATGTGAAGATTCCAAGTTTATATGAACACAATCCACATAATTTCAGCTAAAAATGATTAGACATTCTGAGGTGTTTAGAGTGCTTAGATATGACTTTTTTCCGTAGGTGTTTTTTAGATTTTCTCTTGGATTGCATGTTTGTAAATTTTGCTTCCATTGACAGCAGTCATTCTCCTTATAAAACATATCATCTGGTACATAATCTATTTCATGATGAAACTGAACCTATTTCATATTTGTTCTTACAACTTCTATGAGGAAGATGGATGCTTTTCCTTTGTATGCTGGGGTGACGCTTGTAACATTCTGTCACTAATATCATGTCATGGACTCTGGGAAATGAGGTCATTATATGTTACATATAAGTGATGAATCTTAGAAAAGTAGCACAATTACATTATCATAATATGTCTGATGACCTAAAGATACCTAAATTTTACTTTACAGTAAACCCAAATGTTTTCTTCAGGTTTGTCATATAATATATTTCACTTCTGTACCAAAGCACATCATACAACTGTATTACAATTTGTTATGTCTCTCTGACTAGAATGACCAGAAAGTCATAGCAAAGGTGAAGAAAATATTAACTTAAGGCAAAAAAAATGGATTTTGGCCTCCATAAGTTATCTAATGGGCTGTGAATGATTTTCATTCATTCATATATATACACGTATATATACATACACACACACACACATACATATATATGTGGCAAGATATCCACACTAGTATGTAAAGAACTCTTTTGACACCCTGCCTACCAATGTTTTCATTTGTTTCCAATACACACTCAACATTCCAGGCAGTGTGGTTTTCTCATTCATCCTCAAACATATGATTATTCCTGGTTGTGTTCTATCATTAAAAATAACTATAAGCATTCATTTAATATTATAAGTTTTTCTTTTTAATTATTTCTTTTTAGAGAAGGACTGAAATATCAATGTGAGGGAGAAATATCTATCGGTTGCTTCTCATACATTCCCCAACACAGGACCGAACCCACAACCCAGGCATGTATCATGACTGGGGATCAAGCCAGCAATCTTTCGCATTGCAGGATGATGTCCAACCAACTGAGCCACACCAGCCAGGCAACTTATAATTTTTCAGAGAACTCTGACAAAGATCATTCTATTTGACTCTGAAAAAAACCCTATCAAAATAAACAAGGAACACTGTATTTCCTTATTTACAGAAGAGAACACAGGTTCAGAAAGAGGAGGTGACTTAGCCTTGAACACTTGTCTAGTGATTAGCAAAACAGAAGCAAAAATGCAGGTGCTGAGCCCAGTGTTCTGTATTGTAAGGTTAAGGCTTCTTCCCTTCATACAACCATATTCTACCTATTCTTCAAGATTCTTCTGTTTCCAATTTACCTTACTGCCTATCTTCATCCCCATCCTGCAAGAAGGGGGAAAATTTATCCCCTTCTCTGAAGTCCTGCTAATCTCAATGCCCATTAATTTTTGTATTCATTGACAGTGTATCTTGTGATGTTACATAATACTCTCTATACATATTTCCTGGATACTCAATGGTACCACAAGCTTCTTGAGGTTTTTGTGAGTCTGTATTATAGCTGTCCCCCTGGTGTACCAACCATCCCTTTGTTTTGCCTTTGAGTCTGTCTGATGTCCCTTCACCTGCCCCTGAACTTTGGTATTCCTACCTTTGTTTAACAGTGGACTCTGGGGCATGACCAATCTTCCATCATAGGTAGTCTTGGTAGCACTGTCAATCAAGGTTAAAGGCAGCCTCATGAAAGCCTTTCCATTAGTTCCTGCTCCCTGTATTCTCAAAGCTGCCATAGTTGTTGTTCTTTTAAAGGCCAAGTTCTTCACCCTTTCCTCAGTTTCTGGCTGAGCTACCTCATACCCTCCCAATAAATTCCATTTTTTTCTTACATCAGGCAGAGTCATTTTCTGTTGCTTACAAAGATCCTGATCTAATGTACCCACAAAGGTTAGTGTCTAGGCAGTGCTGAATACTTTTAAATGTTCTGTTGTTATGCAGATTATATGTTATTATGTACTGAAAACATAAAAAAGTGACTCGGTGCAACACTGCTATTCGTTAGAATTTTAGCAACCAACAAGCAAGCATAGGACAAGCTAACACTGGGAATTCATCTGCATGGAATTGGGTTTCATTGTAGTTCAGCATCCTGGTTTGGGGACTCACAAACTGATAATTCACTGCTGAAAGTTAACAAAACATTTTGTGGTAAGGGTAGTATTTATAGTAATGATACCCTTTAGTGATATGACATTTAGGTTAACCCACCTGTTTTCCTTTTCTTCTCAAATATTACAGGAGCCAACTGTGACCAACTGAATTTTTAATATTACTTTACTACAAGATACATGTAATAAGCAACTGATTATATAATGGCTTCTTTATAACTAGGCAAATAGTTTCACACACTGTATAGTTTCTTGTAAAAAACGTTGGATTGGAGTTTTAAATTCAATGAGAAAGTTATCATTAGAATAATTTAGGTGGTTAAATGGTATCATTTTTAAAACTAAGCAGCGCTCTACAAAGACAGTTTCCTGTGCTTTCTTTTCCTTGAAGAAAAAAATAACACTAAGAAAAATCAATCAAGTAATCTTTTATGATCTAACTGGAATTTAACAGCAATTCTAGGTAATCATACATCAGTAGTCAATTCCATTTTGAACAGATTACAAACCCAAGCTAACCATTTCTATGTACTTCAGAAAATTCTATCATTTTAGACATTTGTATCTACTCAAAATCCTTTGTATTCCAGGAACATAATGTAATCCTAGACATTATGGGAATATTGTGCATACACATTATATTTCTCTTTTTTAATGACAAGTATTTCTCTAAAGATAAAAATCCTACTTAAAAATTGGGGGACGGGAGAGAGACTTTAAAACATGCACCTTTTTCTCTTTTAGAACAACTATTACTACATATAACTACTTCCCTCAAGATTATTTTTATTATATTTGAATTTGGCAAAAATCTTTGTGCTGAATCCACTGAGTATACCTCTAGTGTTAGATGTCAGATCACCGTTGTGTAGAAGCACGTTTATTTGACAGGTAGATGACAGGAAGAATCCTCTTTCCAAAATATAAGATGTAACTGTAAAATCCTTCTATGAGATTAATATAATACTTTCTTCCTGTGTATAAATGACTTATTTATTCTTGGTTCAAAAAAATTTGTTCATGTAATTAATTTGAATGGTGTGAAATTAAGACACTTAAAAGGTACATGTTTATTCAAACTAGGGCAGTTTGCTTTAAATATCATGTTATATGAATTAAATGTGAAATAGGTTTATAATACAAATTTCCAATGATATTTTCTTTTAATTTATACTGTTTTTATAGTCATCAACCAAGATCACTTTAAGATTCACTCATTGAATATATAGCATATACTCTAAACAAGTAACATCTTGGTAAGAGATGACTTTATTAGTATTGAATATATGATATTCAATACAATGAAAAAGTCTTAAATATTAGTTTTGTTCTACAAATGTGGCTATCATTTATTTCAGGTTATTATAAGCATTACTTTATTTTCTCTGACATTAACAAATAATTTTACATGCCCCCTAATATCACAAAAAAGAAAGTAAAAATTTTTTTACAAACATTAGCACTCTGGTTTGTTCCTTTCTCTCATTTCTTATATTCCTCAAAAATAAATCAGGAACAAACAGATAAAATTCCATTATATATCCTGTTATGTACAAATGCTATTCTTTATGTGTGAGTTAGAACTACTAGAAGCAAATCATTTTTGATACATGTTAAAATGGTTGTCAATGTAGATGCAATGTACATCTACTTTATGCATGAATAGAAAAGAAATTTATATCTATTCCTAGATCTGGGATTCTTCTTATAATATACTTCAAGAGTTAACCAAACTTCTGCAATGTTTTCAGATGTGAGAGAAAAAAAGGTGAAAGAATGGTGAGATATCAAAGATGCATTGCATGTTTTCAGATTTATTTTTGTCTCTAGCTTTCTTACAGTCCTTCACCTCAGTCTGTTCAGTTTTCTCGGTAATAGACAGATATTTTCTGAATAAGGTGGTTCACTCTAGCTTACAAATGGACATATGTAATCACTTTTGCATTTCTCTATTTCTTTGTTTACTGTTTACAAGAATTGAAATTTCAAAAATACTACTATGAAATGGTATTAACTGATCCAAACAATAAAATAACCATTTGATTTTTAAAAACACATCTTTTGTAATTCTATTTTTAAGAGTTTATTTATTTATTTTTAGAGAGAGGGGAAGGGAAGGAGAGAGAGGGAGAAAAACATCAATGTATGGTTGCCTCTCACACACCCCTCGCTGGGGACCTGGCCTGAAACCCAGGCATGTGCCCTGACTGGGAATCAAACCAGTGACCCTTTGGATCACAGGTCTGTGCTCAATTCATCACTTGATTTTTTTAAAAGTTTTAGTAAATGCACTAGATATGCAATATAAGCATAGTAACACTATTCAATAATATTAGTATTTTCTTAGAGTAGAATAAGCAAAGCACAGTCAAGAAGAAATTTCAGGCTATTCATTGAATTTCACTCCTCGAATACTTTTTGGAGAAGCATAAAATAAGTGGAAAGAGACTGAAATACATGACTGTATCTAATTTTAAAAGCAAGCTTTCTTGATCTACAAACCCAAGTAATATTTGATCGGAAAGAGTATAGTGCCATACTGCAAAAGAATTGGCCCAGTCACTCCAAGTTTACTGCAAATGAAAAATTATATATCTGTTTTCATTCAGATATAATTAACATACCATAAAATTCATCCATTTTAGGCATACTTTTTTGGGGGGGATTGAGTACTATTGCTATTCAGAATGGCCCCCTCATACTGGAGATGATTGCTGTAAATTACCATTATAAAATGTTATCTTACCTTACAAAGGAAGTTGATCTTAAAACCCAAAGACTGGGCATTTCTTGAGCCTGAGTTCATGTAGTTTCCAACCAAAAGAACTAATTCTAAAAGTTTGTTAAAGTTTTCACTTTTCTTCAGTTCTTCACAGGCAAGAGTTACTGCTATGATGCTTGGTTTGATGTTGTTTACATGTTCTTCAAATGTGAGTTTGAAAAGAATGCTATTGAGACGAGGTCGTAACATTTTCACTGAGCTCATCTGTAAGATAAGGAATGTTTTATAAGAATATATTCAAAGCCTGTTATTTCTCTCTCAAGTGGGAATAATTTTATATACAATACTGTAAAATTTCTGCATAAAATTAATTCTCTCTGGGTTTCAAAAATGTTGTTTTTGCATGGCTTAGACATTACAAAAGAATTTCTGTATAATACTTTACAAAACAGCCTGTTCAGCTTTAAACAAATTAAATTATCCTTCTAGCATTAAGATAATATTATTGAAGCTAAACAGTTGTTATATATTTACTGCATAATTATTAGTCATCAACAGCATTTAAACTGCCAAAAATCTGTCCTGAGGTGAACTGTAAAAATGTATAAATACGAAATATAGTTGAGTGAATGGTTTGGTCACAGAACAAAGATGTACATAACAACAGTAAATGTAAGTGGAACCACAATGTCTTTAAAATTTTTTTATTAGGGACTCCGAGACAAAATGGAGACATAGGTAGATATACTTTGCCATCTTGCACACCCAAAAGGACAACAACAACTTATAAAAAAATAACTGCCAGAAAATAGATCTCTATGGAAGTCCAACAATCAGGAGTTAAAGAAGAAACATTCATCTAGACCAGTAGGAGGGGCAGGGATGGGGAGCTGGGGTGGAGAAGATGCATGGCAAGGTGGCAGCTGGCAGAGCAGGTGGTCCCACATTTGTGTGCAGATAAACTGGGAGGAACTGTGGAGTTGTTGGGAACTCTCCTGCCTGGTTTCAGAAGCTGTAACCCCTCATGGCTAAGGCTGAGTAAAAAGACCTTTGGACCATAAGCCACTTAGGAGACAAAGCTTATCTTCCTTGTGGGGGCACTGCCTCTGCCCCCTTTCACCTCACCCTGCTTGGCCCCAGGCAGATGACTGGTTAGCCAATGATGGATAAGATTCCTCAAAAGAGGGACGGACTAAGACAAGCACAGTCATGAAGGGTCCCTCATGGAAGGACTTGGGGGTATAGAAAAAGGAGATGATGGACCCTCAACCATCGGCTTTGACAAAGCCCGAGTCCTCATTCTGTCTGCAAGAAGTCTCCTAATCTCTTGGCTGCCTTACTTCCCCTGCATGACTTAAGCCTGAAACCATGCCAGTGGAGATGGATGTGGCCCTGTGCTGGAAAGGGTAGGTTCACTAGAGCAATCAGGCCTAAGAAAGAATGCATAAAATCCTATGGAAACTACTTGGCTAATACCCTCAATTTAAATGATAAGGGTCCAAGCATGAAGTGAGTTTGCACTCCAAAGTTTTATGTCCCTTTAACTATCTGACCCTGACTCAGAATAAGCCCTCAGAGTTCTTTGAATGCTATCTATTGTTTGATCATTTCTGCCTGACAATGACTGATGAGCTTTACGTATATACCCCGTATTTCTATGCAAATTAAACTCAATAAAATCTTGTCAAGACAAGGGTCAGGGTACTCTCCTCTCAAGAGAGTGGCTAAGGCACTCCGAGGTGCTCTCCCCTTGAGAGAGTGGCTGTTCTGTCCCTTTTCCTCCACAGGACTTCGGTGGTCCGTGTGCATTTGTCTTGTCTCATTCATAACACCACAGACACTGCAGGCCGGTGTCTGTATCACAGAGTGAGACACACCGCACAACCCTAGGTTCCAGTATGGGGAAATAAAGCCTCAAAACCTCTGACTGAGAAAACCTGTAGGGGTTGAGGTGTCAGAAGAAACTCCCAGCCTCACAGGAGAATTTGTTGGAGAGACCCACAGGGTCCTAGAAGTTACATAAACCTACCCACCTGGGAATCAGCACCAGAAGGGTCCAATTTGCTGGTGGGTAATGGAAAGTGACTAAAAGCTGGCTGAGAACTGAGCAAGGGACATTGTTCCCTTTCAGACCCTTCTCCCACATACAGTGACACAATGCAGTGGCCCTGGGTTGCCCTGCCCTGGCAAATACCTAAGGCTCTGCCCCTTACTATGTAACAGGGACACCCAGACAAAGAAATATGCCCCAAATGAAAGAACAGATCAAAACTCCAAAAATAGAACTAAGCAATGAAGAGAAAGCCAACCTATCAGATGCATAGTTCAAAACACTTGTAATAAGGATGCTCAGAGACATGGTTGAGTATGGTCATAAAATAAAGGAAAAAGTGAAGGCTAATCAAAGTGAAATAAAGAAAAATGTACAGGGAACCAACAGTGAAGGGAAGAAAACCAGGATTCAAATCAATGGTTTGGAGAAGGAAGAAATAAACATCCATCCAGAACAGAATGAAGAAACAAGAATTCAGAAAAATGAAGAGAGGCTTACCAATTTCTGCGACAATTTTAAACATTCTAACATCTGAATCTTAGGGGTGCCAGAAGGAGAAGAGGGAAGAGCAAGAAATTGAAAACATAATAGAGGAGAAGTTCCCCAAACTGGCAAAGGACATAGACTTCTAGGAAGACCAGGAAGCCCAGAGAATCCCAAAGAAGTTGACCCAAGAAAGCACACACCAAGGCACATCATAATTGCATTTTCCCAAGATTAAAGATAAGGAGAGAATCTTAAAAGCAGTGAGAGAAAAAGAGATAGTTACCTACAAAGGAGTTTGCAGAGAGAGAAGAAGGGAGAGAGAGAAACATCACTGAGAGGGAGAAGCATCAATAGGTTGCTTCCCATACATGCCCAGACTGGGGTGTTGAGCCTGCAACATAGATATGTGCCCTGACCAGGAATTAAACCCTCAACCTTTCAATTATAGGAAAATGCTCCAACCAACTGACCCAAACCAGCCAGGGCATAATCTTTTTATTTAATACCAGATATATATGCAATAATGTGGCCAAAAATGCACTTTAATATAATAGTAACAATAATAATAATAGGAATTGACATTTATTTAGTATTTTGCACCATTTTTCTACATAGTATTATATATTTTTATTTTTAAAAAATTTACAGATGTTATTTATTTATTTTTAGAGAGAGGGGAAGAGAGGGAGAAAGAGAGGGAAACATCAATGTGTGGTTGCCTCTCACATACATCCCCCACTGGAGACCTGGCCTGCAACCCAGGCATGTGCCCTGACTGGGAATCAAACCAGGGGGAGGGAGAGGGAGAGGGAGAAGGAAAGAATAATGTCTCGGCAAACAACTAGCAAAAGATTATTAGCATTAGTTTCATTCTGAAGATGAGGACAGTAAAGCACAGAAATACTAAGTAACTTGCACAATGTCAAATTGCATGTTGAATACCTGGACATTTAAACTTAGACATTTAGGCCACAGAAGGCAGACTCTCAGCCACTATACCACACTGCCTCTTGAGCCATCTTAGGAGCAGTATACATGAGTAGTTGAAACAGAGATTAGTGGCAGGGATACCATTACTAAGTCTTTAAAATTGCCTGAGAAGAAGGTAATGAGCTAGGATGTTGACAGGAAGAAAAAGGAATCAATGGATATAAGAGACAGAATTAGGGAAGAATCAGTAGGACTTATTACCTGACCAGTCATGTGAGGATAAAGTCATACATGGCTCCAAGGTTTTAAGTCTCTTGTGAGGCAGAAGATTGTTGGCAATAATGAAGGTAGAAAAAGGTGCTGACTTGGTGTGATTTACTGTTTGCTTGGTTGTCCTTTTCCAGGAAATGAGGGAAAGTGGATTTGCTTTCCTTGGATGGATGCTGCCTACACTCCAGTAAGCTACTCAGCAAATAAGGCAGTGGGGACAGGTAGGGTGCAGCTTAGTAGTAAATTCAATCAAATGACTGATTCTGTTAACTTTCACATAAACTGACCATGTGACACTAACCTACCTAATTTTACTGGTTTACTTTTTCCTCATCTGTAACATAGGGGAAATTCCTAATGAGTGGTCTTGCTTAGATAATTAAATAGGAGTCAAATAAATGACCCATAAATATCATTTCCTTATTTTTCAGCCTGTGCCTCTAGAGTTGTGGGACAGGGGAATTAAGGGAACTAGATCTACAAATAAAAATATTACCTGGTTGTTACAAAATTATTTTTATTAGCATTTAAGTGAACTTGGTCCACCTTCCTCTCAGACACCAAACAGTTCATTTTACTACTAACAAAGATACTATTAGCTCCCCATTATTAAGGCTCCAAATCTTGGAGTCATATTTAAATCATGTTAAACATAATGTAATTTAATGCCATTCCTTACCTATATTTTAACCTGAAGAATTTCTTAGAATTGTCTCTAATTTTCCATGGTCACTATTCAAGCTTAAATTTTATGTACTTCAAGGTTGAATTACTAAGGTAGATTATTTAAGTGTACTCCATGATCCCTCGCCAGCCTTTCCCTTCAAATCCTCCAATAAACAGTAAACTGACACTCCTATCATAGGGAAATAATATTGCTTTGTTGACATTTTGAGTTTTGGGTATTATTGTGATATCTGGAAGCTTTGGAAATTCAGTCTTTTTGTTTAGGAGATAATTATCGGAGTTGGAAGACTTATGTTATTCAAATAGATGTTATGGGAGGCCACTGATGAAGAAAATATACAGAGAAAAGAGTCAAAGACTGAACCTTGTACAGCAACCAGCACAGAGTATTGCATGTATTAGTTCAAATATTTGCTGATTGAGTTTAAATGTACCCCTTGGCTGACTAACCATTTTGCATATCTCCCAAGTAGATCAGTCAAAATGTGTACTGAACAAAATTAACAGCAGATGGTGATGTTTTATTGTCCCTAAAATAATGTCTTGAGTCATGAAGTCAAACTACATATGCTAGAGAACTAACTTTGTTGAATTGCTGTTTCTGAATATAACCTATCATCACTCAACCTGATTTTGGGAAGAGGTTGTACATTATAAGGGGGTTAGAGCTGCCCTTTGATCTGGCAAAATTTCTTCATTTACTTATTCTCTAGAATAAGGTTTAACACATAGTAGTTGATAAATATGGTAGGTGATTAAAATAATTGTGAATGAATGAATGGATGGATGTTTTCATTCACATATACTGCAACTCCAATATCAAAAAAAGGGGCCGGAT